TATAAAGGATATTTATAATATGAAATATAAAAATAGTGCTTACCATGATAAAGAGGAATATTTACAATGGTAAATATGAGGAATAATTTTAATCATAAACCAAGAACTCCAATCCCACTGCAAATGAGTCAATTCTGACTCGTGGCAACCCAATAGAGCTGGGAAGAACTGCTCCTGTGCGCTTCCGAAACGGTAACTCAGTGCAAGTAGAAAGCCTCATCTTTCTCCCAAGGAGCAGCAGGTGGTTTCGAATGGCTCACCTTGAGGTTAGCATCCCAAAGCATATCCACTATATCGCTGGGGCTCCTTATCATCATAAAATATAAAATTAGTAAGAACCTGTTCTTCCCCGAAACAAGTCCATTCCTTTGTGTGTCTCGGTGTCCACCGACACTGAGGCAAAGATGGAATATGCTAACGTTCTGAGAAAATGTATTTAAAGTGAAAATGGGCTGAAGGGATTTTCAGTTTCCTTTCTCCCCAGGTCTCAGTGCCATAGTTGATGCCGGCTGGAGGCTGGAAGATAACGGTCCATTGCTTTGTGTGCAGCATCCATTATTGATACATTATGTGGGCCAAACTCCATCACTGCTAGGAAACCCAAGTAGCCACTATCACAGACTGGAAAGTATTTTTGTCTGTCTGAAACAAATGCCTGGCTTACTTAAAAACTAACAACCATATATATATAGAGAGACAGAGAGCTGTTTGTACATAGAATTGCTTTCTTTGTTCCTTAATTCCCCATTTCTATAGTCAGAGGAGTCTAGTTACAATTCTGGCTCCACCTCTTTCTGGCTCATTGGCCTTGGATTAGTCATTTAACTGCTCTGGGGCTCAGTTTCCCCGATCTGTTGGTGGGGGCATGTGGTGGCCGTGAGCTTCGTAAAGGGAATGTAATCTACCTGGGGCCTGGCTGCTGCCCTGAAATCTACAGGGCTACCCCAGGCAGCAACTCTCCTGGGCTTCTCCCAGCCAGGCCACATTACCAATATGGCTTCTTTCTGGGGGACACAGGACTCTTCTGATGGCTGGCTTTGGCTCAAAGTCTCCTTGGTGGCCATGCTGTGCCTTCCTGAGACTGAGAGCCGTCTAGGACACCATGCCTACCCTTGTTTCCCTCTCGGCCTCACTTGGTGTTAGAATTACACGTGTCTCATGGCTGTACTGATCTCCCGACTCCCTCCTATCTTCCATTTGCATTTTCCGGGATCAAATCCATTTACATTTAATTCTGCCTTGGCACTAACTTCTTAGAGGGTGTGAACAATACACGATGGTAACAACTCATGGAGAAGGCCAAATACAATGATGTCAGCAGAGTGTTTATTTGAGTACCTGGTCCAAAGTAAGGGCTCTCATCACCTTCAGCAGCAGCAGCACCACCACCATTACTACCATCGTCCCATTATCCCCAGCACCGCTACTGCTGTTACCACCCAGCCAGTTGGATGTCTGTGATGGCTCCAGGCACAGAGACATCTCTCCAACCACAAGGCAGCTAGCTCTGTGTTAGCAGGCGAGCTGCTGTGGTTTCTGCGAAGAAGAGCAGATTAATTAACGATCCCCTTTGGAAGCAAATGCAACCTAAGGAAATGCCCAGACCAAGTCCCTTCTGAGCCGGCGGAGTGCGGTCGCATGTCCGAAGCCATCAGCTCCATTTTCAATTAAATGCACAAAAGGCTTTGTAACATTGTCTGGCCTCGCCAAGTGCTTCTGACTTAAAAATCTGCAGCCAGCAAACTGGGCCAGCCCATGTGTTGTTCCCAAGCGCCCTGTGGGAGGCTGAGGGTGATTATTATGATTCACATTTCACAGATAAGCAAACCGAGTAACTCAGCGACAGTTTCAAGGTCACCCAGTCACTGACAGGTTTGGGACTGAAGCTCCAATTTCTCTCGGGGCTTCAGGAGCTCATGGGCTGGTGGATTCTGTTCCATCTCTGCTCCCAGCATGTTCTCTTAGCAAACTGGCACTAGGAATGGCCCAAGGATGAAAAGACCTTTCTCAAGTCCAGCTCTTCCCAGCCTCCTGGATGCTAGAAGCTCTGGCACCCCCCAGAATGCAGGTTGGTGAAGGACATTGCCCTGGCATGGTTTGCCACCTGGTGAGGCTTCACCCTGATGTGAGTGAGTGGGCCTTGCTGTCGTTTGTCCTCAGGGTAGACAGCCAGGCCTCGGAAGCTTGGGGGGAACTGCGACTTAGTCTCCATGCAGTACAACTCCTTCTGCCTGTTCGGGGCTACATCAGTGCTACTAGTGGGGGCGGGGGTGGTGCTGATGGGGCGTCTACGGATCGCCTGAAGGAAAGATCACTAGCAACAACACCACACAAATGTTGGTCCCACGCCAGGCATGGTGTCAAGAAATGGATACAGTGATTAAAAGATGGGCTTTCTAACCCAAGGAGCTCAGAGCTTAGTGGTAGACGGGCAAGTTGCATCTTCCTGGGAAAGGCCAGGAGGCCTTCACGGAGGAGGCAGCTTTGAGCTGACATGGAAGAGCAGAGGAGGAGCATCTTCCAGGGAGATGGACCGGGAAGGGGTTCCTTAGTGAAGGAACAGCATCTGGGAAAACCTGCAGTATGAAGAGAAGGGAGACCCCGGACAGGGTAAGATCCGACATGACAATAACTATATATAATTGATCAAGGATTCATGAGGGCGGGAGGGTGAGGGAAGGAGGGGAAAAAGAGGAGCTGATACCAAGGGCTCAAGTAGAACATGTTTTGGAAATGATGATGGCCACATGTGTACAAATCTGCTTGATACGATCGATGTATGGAATGTTATAAGAGCTGGAAGAGCCCCCAATAAAAAATAAAAAAGAAGAAGAAGAAGAGGACACTGCTGGGCTCATCACTTGTTTTCCATTCCACATCCGTCTTCCACAGCGCATGCGTGGCTTGGATGAGCCAACCTTCCCTCCTTCCTTTGTTTAGTCAGTCATGATGAATCCGATACCCATGGTGTGGCAGCCACTGTGCAGGGTATTGAGGACTCTCGGGTGAGGAATACATATGGTCTCTTACTCCCCTCAAGGAGCTTTCTGTGCAGGAGCAGGACAGGTTACACGTGTGACACAGCGGTTACATGCACAGCTGCTAACAGAGAGTTTGAATCCAGAAGCTCTGCAGGAGAGAGATGGCAGCCTGGGAAACCCTGCGGAAGGGTCTACTCTGCCCTGTAGGGTTGCTTTGAGTAGGAATTGACGCGATGACTATGGGCGTGGTTTGGGTTTTGCCACCAACATCGGACAGTGAGTGTTGGAAAGCATATTCATTTCCTGTTGCTGCTGAAGCACGTAACCATACCTGTGACTTAAAATATCACCAATTTATTACCTTGCAGTTCTTGGGGACAGAAGGTCAGCATTAAACTCGCTGAGCCAAACACAAGGTGCCCTCTGGATTGGTTCCTTCTGAAGTGAGTTTCTATGGGAGGGTCAATTCCCTTGCTTTTTCTCGACTGCACTCCTTGCCTCGCAGCTGCATCCGTCCTCTGTTTCTATTGTCACATCTTCGTTATCAGCCCCTCATGCCTCCCTCTTATGAGAACACTGGAATTACATCAGACCCATCTGGATACACCAGGCTAGATCCACCCATCTTATGATCCTTAACTATCACAAGTGGGAAGCACCTCTTACCATAGACTGTAGCTTATTCACAGATTTAGGGATTCGGATAGATTTTTGGGGCGACCATTCTCATCATAGAAGGTCTAGTGGAGAAGGGGGAGAAGTGGTCCTAGAAGTGGCATTGAACTTGAGATTCAGTAGGTCATAAGCTGGGTAAATGTGGAAGCTGGAAGACACTTAGCAGATGGCTGAATTGGTCCAGGCAAGGATGAGGCCGGAGGCCAGGGGTAGTGAGAAGGGCAAGAAATACACTCTCTCTCTCATGGCCATCAAGCTGATTCTGACACAGAGTGACCCTCATAGGAGAGAGTGGAACAGACCTTTGGGTTTCTGAGGCTGGTGGGTTTGAACTGCTAACCATGTGGTTAGCGGCCCATTGTGTAACCCACTATGCCACCAGGGTGCCTTTGAGGTGCACAGAGGTGGCAAAAATGAATGGGAAACCTGGGCAATGTGGAAAGCAAGGCATCTTAGACAAGGCTCACCTTGGAATCAACAAGGACGGTTCAGAAGGGAAGGTGGCTGCCTCGAGAAGGGCTAACAAGAATCGCCAAGAGAACGAACACACACGTGAGAAGACATGTAAGCAGAGTGCTCTTTGAGGATGGAGAGACTGGCTGACTTAGCTTGGGCACGCCATTAGGAAAGACTCGCGTCTTTAAAAGGATATCATGTTTGGTGAACAGGGTGGCCAGAGAAAGTCAGGGAAACCCTCAATGGGATGGAGTGGCCCAAGAGCCACACGAGTGGCTTCAAACAGCCCCATGACCCCGAAGAAGGCCTCAAATGGGGCATGTTCTGTTCTCTTATGCATGAGGTCGCTGTGAGTGGGAGGCTGGGGGAGGCCAACTCACAACAACAGGCAAGAACATCACATCCAGGGAGCTGACCCCGACTTATGAATCTTGCAGTCAGAAATTACAGAGACTCCGATACTCAGGTAAGTCAGAGAGAAACGGAAGACTTGATCTTATTTGGTCGGAGGATAGACAGTAAAAGGCTGAGACTCAGTTTTCAAAGAGAGAGGCTGATTTTGAAGTTTTACAAGAAGAAGAAGCAAAAAGGCAGATGTTTACAAGGTCATTTATTTTAAGTGGCTACCTCTCTGGCCAGGGATTGTCAGGGTCACTGGTGTTTTGAACACCAAAGATGACATTTTCTCATCTTCTATTCACCAAGCCAGAGACGGAGCTGTTTGGCCCCACTGCGGTGAATTGTTTGCCCCATTTAGATAATTAGGTTTGTCATCTCCTAATACCTTATTTTCACAACAGCCAGGCTACCCCCTACAGATGCCATCGTAAGAATTAGAACAATACAGGAGGAACAGAATCTAAGAGAAATAGCCATTTACTTCGGATCATGGCAGACCTCTGTAATGTATTATACGGTATTATGTGTGCAGAACAACTCTGAACTTCCTGCCCTTACAGAAAAGCCTCCAGCTTAACATATTTATTTCCAAGGTAATGAAATTGCCCTTACAGAGAACAGGGGCTTTAGAGAATTCTCTAGGTCTGTAAAAAAGAAGGCTGTGGGGGTGGTGTCTGCTTTCCTCCTGCTCCACATGGGGATAGGAAAGTCAAACTCCACCCCAACATCACCCAGAACTGATTTCTTTCTTTCTTTTTAAAATCATTTTATTGGGGGCTCTTACAGCTCTTACAACTTTCCATACATGGATTGTATCAAGCATATTTGTAATATGTTGTCAGCATCATTTCCAAAACATTTTCTACTTGAGCCCTTGGTATAAGCTCCTCTTTTTTCCCCTTCCTCCCCCACCTTCCCACCCTGGTGAGTCCTTGATCAATTATATATTGTTATTATTATTTCGTATCTTACACTGTCCATTGTCTCCCTTCACCCACATGTCTGTTATTTGTCCCCTTCGGTGGGGTGGTGGGGTGGGCGTGGTGGCTATATATTCAACCTTGTGATGGGTTCCCCCTTTCCCCCCTTTCCTTCTCCCTGGTCCTCCCTCCCCTCATGATGTCACTCCTCCCACTACTGGTCCTGAATTCCATGTGTTGAGGGCTCTTATCTGTACCAATGTGTGTTCTCTGGTCTAGCCAGTTTTGTAAAGTAGAATGGGGTCATGGTAGGGGCTAGGGGAGGAAGCATTCAGGAACTAGAGGAATGATGTTTCATCGGTGCTATACTTCACCTTGGTTGAATCATCCCTTCTTTATAAACTATCTGTGGGGGGGATATCCAATTGTCTACAGATGGGCCTTGGGTTTTCACTCCAATCTCCTCATTCACATCGCTATAGTTGTTTGCTCTGGATCTTTTGATACCTGAGACCTGACAGGACTTATTTCTATGAGGCTGAGGCCAGACACGTCCCTCCAAACTTCTGACACCAAATGTCTCTCTCAAAATACTCTCTACTTTTCAGACGAGTTACATAATTCAGTTCCTTGGCCACACAGAACTCATGGTCAATGTTCATGAGGAGCTTATACCAAGGGCTCAAGTAGAAAATGTTTTGGAAATGATGCTGGCAACATATGTACAAATATACTTGATACAATCCATGTATGGAAAGTTGTAAGAGCCCCCAATAAAATGATTTTAAAAAGAAAGAAAGAAAACAGTTCTGGGTGATGTTGGGGTGGAGTTTGACTTTCCTATCCCCATGTGAAGCAGGAGAAAAGCAGACACCACCCCCACGTCCTTTTTTATTAAATGTTATTAAATGGGGTTTATTAAATGTTAAGGATATAATTATTTGGATAGGACAGCCTCATCTCCATTGTGCCTGCAGGCAGGCTTGTCTGGCCTTTAAATTCTCAGCCACATGACCTAGTGGCCTCTCATCTGCTCCTGCAACGGTACAAAGTTCTTTTGGGGGCTCCCAATAAATGCCTAAAGGACATGCTACTTTGCAATAGGTCTCAGCCTGAAGGCACTCAGTTCTAGCTCCATGGGTCAACAACCTTAGCTCCCCCAATTAAGTGCCTGGAGGCTCGCCACTCCACAAGCCAGTCTCCTGCTTGAGGGTACTCAGCTTTACTGGCTTCTGAGGCTGCCGTAGTCCATCACTCTGGATCTTGGATCGCTTGCTGCCACTTTCCTGTTGTCAAAGCTTTCTCTTAGTAGTCTCTGCATACCTGAACTTTATTTAGTGTGTAATCTTTGACCTTTTCCTTTCATGGTAGGCAAACTTTGTGTGCGTGTGGGTGTTGGGGTGGGGTGGGGGAAGGGTGTGGCTACCTCACAGTCCCCCTTCCAAAGGGGACATTTTAATTTGCTAAGCACTCATCTTTCCTTCGCTCTTGGCGTTGGCTAGACCCCAGTACCGGGTCATGGGACTGGGTCTCTCTGGTCTATTTCCTGTCCAAACTGAACAAGATTTGTTTCTCAAATATGACTTTGTGTCATGTGTCTGTCTCACCTTTTGCTTAAACAGAGAAGCTGCAGGAGAAGCTAACTTAGAAATAATAGAGCATGGGTTTAAATCTGAGCCTTTGTAGAAAAGATCCAAACATCTCAAACTCAATTAGTACTATTTAAAAACAAAACAAAACAAAAACGGATAAAAAAAGAAAACAATTAAAAAAAACCCAGGACCCTTGGGGAATCACATTTCAGAACTCCAAGCGGCACCTAGCAACTGATGAAACGCCCTAACTGCAGGCAGGGTGAGCAAATTTTTAATCCTCCAATTTGAAAGCCGGCTTAGGCAAGACATCTGTGCTTTGTTTCTGACAAGTTTTGTGTTTCCTATTTATAAACAAACTCTCTTCTCCCCTCTCCCCCTTCTCCACCCTCGTTTCCCCAGTGGCTGTTCCCTCTGCGGCACCTGCCTCTCAGCCCAAGAGTGCCACTAACGGCCACTACCCTGCCCCACGCCTTGCCATCTCCTCCCGAGCCACGGTGGTAGCCAGAATGGAAGGAGCCTCCCAGGGGGGCCTGCAGACCGTCATGAAGTGGAAAACAGTGGTTGCCATCTTTGTGGTCGTGGTGGTCTACCTCGTCACCGGGGGTCTCGTCTTCCGGGCCCTGGAACAGCCTTTTGAGAGCAGCCAGAAGAATACCATTGCTGTGGAAAAGGCGGAATTCCTGCGAGATCACGTCTGTGTGAGTCCCCAGGAGCTGGACACGCTGATCCAGGTGAGCGGCAAGAGGAGCCGTCGGAGAACAGCCAGTGGGGAGAGGGGATAGCAGTCCTTTGGTCTCTCTGGATCACTGAGTTCAGCCTGTGGCTGAGCTGCCCCTGGTGGTGAGGGACATCCTCTCTTACCATTTGGTCGTGTCTCAGGACCATGACACTCTCTGTAGGAGAGGACTTGGTGGGCGACCACTAGATGGGCAGGGATCCTGTGGCTCTCCAGAGGCTTCAGTCTGATGCTGCTGCCTGACCCGTAGCAATTCAGAAAGCAGCCCCAGCCTCAGATTCCTCACTGGAGAAATGAAGGCCCTGGGCAGGATCTCTAAGGTCCCCCGGAGGCTGACACAGTTAAGTCAAAGGGCGGTAAACAGGAGGGTCTGGTGCTGAACAATTAGTGTTGGCCTTCTATCACTTGAATTTGGTTAAGGCTGCTACTGAGGTGGCAAGTAAGGAGCCCTGGTGGTGTCCTGGGTTACACGTTGAGCTGGAGCGGCTAACCACAAGGACAGCAGTTTGAAACCACCAGCTGCTCCGCAGGAGAAAGATGAGGCTTTCTGCTCTCGTAAAGAGTTACTGCCTTGGCGACCTGCAGGGCAGTTCCACCCTCTCCTTAGAGCAGCGGTTCTCAACCTGTGGTTCGCAACCCCTTGGGGGGAGTTGAACAACCCTTTTACAGGGGTCGCCCGATTCTTAACAGTAGCAAAATGATAGTGATGAAGTAGCAACAAAAATAATGTTATGGTTGGGTGGGGGGTCACCACAGCATGAGTAACTGCATGAAAGGGTCGCTGCATGGGAATGGTGGAGAACCACTGCCTTATAGGGCCATTGTGAGTCGGCTTGATAGTAGTGAGTTGGTTTTACCATCTATGGGATAAGAGCCCTGGTGGAGTAGTGGATTGCACACTGGGCTTTTATCCTCAATGCCAGCAGTTCAAAACTGCCAGCTGCTTTGAGGGCGAAAGAGGGGTTTGCTCCAGTAAAGATTTACAGCATGCGAGACCCACAGGGGCCGTTCTACCCTGTCTGATTTGGTATCTATGTGTCGAAATCAACTTGCTGGCAATGAGTTTGATTTTGTTGGGCTATGCACTGGAGCCCTGGTGGTGTAGTGGTTACATATTGGGCTGCTAACCACAGGGTCAGTGGTTCTAAACCACCAGCCAGCTCCACGGGGGAAAGATGGAGCTTTCTACTCCCATAAAGAATTACAGCCTCGGAAACCCACAGGGGAAGTTCTACCTTGTCCTGTAGGGTGTCTATGAGTCAGAATTGATTCAATGACAGAGAGAGAGAGAGAGAGAGAGAGAGAGAGAGAGAGAGAGAGAGAGAGAGAGAAGAGCGAGAGAGAATGAACATGAGAGCAAATATTTAATCCACCAAATTCAAAGGCAGCCCATTCCTATGGTGGACAGCCTGTCATCAGGGAGTGCGTGCGTTAGTACAGGATGCTTCCATCCTCACCAGCCATTCTATTTGAGTTGTGTATGATAGAACAGGGAAAGGAAATGGGCCAGCCTGGGTGTCCTGTCTGATCTCATAGTCTACCCTTCGCCTCTCCTTCTCTCCAGCACCGACTTTCTTGCTGTTCTTGAACCTTCTAAACTTGTTCCTCCTCTGCCCTACAGGGTTGCTGAGTCAGAATTGACTCAATGACAGAGAGTTCTTGGGGACAAAACGCTGAGCATTTATTTCCTTGCTTGTCATCTGTCTCCTTCACTGGTATATACTAGCGGTGAAATCAGGGGGCTGATCTACTTGGTTGATTATTATCTCTCTGTTGCTTAGTGCAGCCAGAGTGCTCCTTGGAGGCAAGGGTGGCAAGATTTTGTTGTACCTCCTTTGGACATGTAGTCAGGAAAGACCAGTCCCTGGAGGAGGACATCATGCTTGATAAAGGGGAGGGGCAGTGAAAAAGAGGAAGGCCTTCAACAAGATGGATTGACACGTGGCTGCATCAATGGGCTCAGGCATTGGAACACTTGTGAGGATGGCGCTGGACTGGGCAGTGTCCGTTCTGCTGTGCACAGAGTGGCTATGAGTCGGAACTGGCTGGCGACACCAATAAAAAACACCACCAACATTGACCAGAACAGTTCTGGAAACAGTAAATTCTCATGAAATATTCATGGGGTGTGAGAAGGCAGGAACTAATCCACGGCATGCTGGGACAACAGAGCTTATTTCAGCACCAAGTGCGGTGCTGGTCTCAAAGGTGTGTTTGAAGAGTGACACCAAGTCTCAGTGCTTGAATCCCTTCAGTGTCAGGGGTCACCCAGTTACTGAAACAAAAGCAAAACAAAAACTCTACGGCCATTGAGCTACTCCACGTGTTAGAGTAGCAAAGCCCTGTGGGGTTTTCTTGGCTGGAACTTTCGCTGGAGCATACTGCCACACCTTTCTTCCGGGTCTGAACCACCAACTTTCTTCTGTGGTGATGAGCAGGTTGGAGCCACCCATTATTAGGTCAGTTATTGAGTATGTTAGTTTGGGAATTTTAGAGAAACTAATCCACAGAAATTCATATGTATGATAGAGTTTTACATATAGGGTAAGTGCACATCAAGAAAGCATTCCAACCCAGTGCTGCCCAAGCCCACAAGTCCAACACTAATCCATATGTCCAACACTAATCCATATGTCCAAAACCAATCCACAAAGTCCTCGTCCATCTCACAAAACACACGCAATGACGCTGACTGCAGGAGGAAAGGCAAATCAGTGAATGTGTAAGCGTCTCAGTGCTGGCAGGGGTCTCCACAAGGCTGCTCCAGCACCCAGGGCTGCATCGGGGTAGGTCCGTGTAGCTTCTTTTCAGGCATGTCTTATAGGAAGTGAGCCTTGCAAGCTGAAGCAGGGAACTGGCTAAGGCAGCTGCACCCTGGTCCAACCATCAGAAAGCAAGAGACCGGAGAACTAGAAAGGTGAGGCCCACTGAAACATTTATCCCTCCGCCCTTCAATTAACCCCACCTGTGTTTATCAGCCAGGTTGGCACAATAGCCTTTAACTATATCCTTGAGTGCACACTTTTTTCTACCATGCTTACACCACAGGGGGTCATTGTTCCACTTAATTGTGACACTTGATGGAAATGGGAAACAATTCATCTTCTTTGGAAGGGTTTGTCTATACTGCCACTGCTGTTGAGTTGATTCCAACTCATAGCATCAGGACCCTGTCGAACAGAGTAGAGCAGCCCCTGTGGGTTTTTAAGACAGTAATTCTTTCTAGGAGCAGAAAGCCTTCTTTTCCTCCCTCAGAGCAGCTGGTGCTTTTGAACTGATGATAACCCACGAGAGAACCTCTACACCACTCTAGTTTCTGTATAGACACTAGCAATGGAATAATTGGCTCCTCCTCAACTGCCTAATTTACTTTTCCCATGATCTCTGTCCCCTTTTATATGATTCTCTATCAATACATTCATTTCTCCAACAAACATTTATTGAATACTTAATATGTACCAGGCTTTTGACGATACTAGCGATGACGATGGAATATGCCTGCACGGCCAAGCATGACATATGAATAAATAGAAGAATTGAAAGACCCACATGGTATGTGAGCTCCACTTGCAGGGGACAAAGATGTCTTCCAAGAAGAGACAAGGTATGAGTTTTGAAGGCCAACGAGCTCTGCGAGCTGCTGCTGCTGATGGAAAGAAAGGCGTTTTCTGCAAAGCAAGTGTGCTCGTATTCTGCCCGCTCTTCTTTTTGTAGGTTCATTGCACAGAAAACATATTCATTCACGATGCCTGGAAGCACCATAATGTTTTACAGTGTTTATGAGTACAGTTTATATCAGACGTCTCACCATGAATGCCAACGACAATGCTCTGAGTCAAATGAATACAAAAGTGGATAAAAGAATCCATTAAAAGGAAGGCCAGCTGGGATATACTTGTTCTACGAGCTACTGAGACTTCTATGGCAGTGTACAGCATCGGGCATTGGTGCAGGGAGAGACATAGCCCACAAATCCGAGAAACTGGAAATATAGTGTGGTTGTTAGCTGTTGATGAGTGGGCCTCCGCTCATGGCTACTTGTTGCACAGTGGTCCTACACCATCCCCATAGCAACTGCTTGAAGGTTGCTCTATTAGATCCGTGGGGTTCTCAGTGGCCGAGTTTTGGAAATGGATCGACAGGCCTGCTTCTTTAGAGACTTCATCTGGATCCTCTACCGAAACCTGTTCAACATCAAAGCAACACATAAGCCACCACTGACAGAAGGTTGGTCGCTGTGCCTGAGATGCAAAACCATCTCTATTTGGTGACATCAGCTAGAATAGCCATGTATGCCCAGTCTTTACGACCCAGTTGAGATGGTATTTGCTCTGGTTTCGCTGGAGGCGCTGCTGCTACTTCGATGTCTAGGGCACTGCTGGCAGTGCTCTGACCAGAGAGCTCTCAGCTATTAGCCCCCTCTGGACATCACCTCTCTGACATCACATTCCCTTCCCAGGCTGGTCCCCATCCCCTGACTGTCCCAGGTGGAGCCAGAAGCATTGGCTGCCAGCTACTGAGCTGGGTTTGCTCAGACTTGCGTGGAGGTGACACTGCAGCTTGACTGCCTCTGTCCACTTCCACTTCCGCTGCCCCTTTCCCCAGTGCTGACTCCACAGGGCCTCCTCAAGCTCACCAATCTCTTCTTGCTCAGCCCTGTCGTAGTTGGCCTTATACAAGGGGGCTTTGAAGAGTTCATGGAAAAGTTAACAGAATTTGCCCACAAACTTTTTGAAGTGAGCGTGGATGACTTTCCTGGCGAGTGCCTGAAAGCCAGGTCCCAGGACAGAATCTTCTTTCCTTCCGACAGTCATCATGGTCGCTGGGACACTGGGACACTTATTGTGGGTATGATTCTGACTCATACTGAGCTCATGTGGCTCCCAAAGAGACAAAGGTCTCCGAGGTTGTAATCTTTATCGGATCAGATAGGCAGGTCTTCCTCCCTAGTGTCTGGGGTCCTGAACTGCTTGCGGACCTTACTTGAGTCAGCAG